CATGGCAAATCAATGATCTTGGCCTCTCCGGGTCTCCCTGGAGGCCCTCTTGGAGGCCTCTTGGGCCATCTTAGGGCCATCTTCGGCCGTCTTGGTGGGCTCCTGGCCCGTCTGACGCCGTCGGAAGCCGTTTGGGGGGCCTCTCTGGGCCGACTTGGGGCCCTCTTGGAATGCTCCAGGGCCGCGTTGGAGGCCATCTTGGGCGTATTGGAGGCCTCCTGGGCCGTCTTGGGGGCCTCTTGGGGTCGTCTTGGGGGCCTCTTAGCCCGTTCTGGGGCCATCTTGGAGGCCTCTTGGGCGATCTTTGGGCGATCTTTGGGGGCTCTTGGGCCGTCTTGGGCCGTCGGAAGGCCGAAAAGAAGCAAATATCAAAATCTTTAAAAAAAACTCAGGAACATCCGTGTTTTTTTACCTTCTCTGGCCTTCCTGGAGGCCCTCTTGGAGGCCTCTTGGGCCGTCTTGGGCCAGCTTCGAGCCAACTTCGGCCATCTTGGTGGATTCCTGGCCCGTCTGACGCCGTCGGAAGCTGTTTGGGGGGCCTCTCTGAACCGGCTTGGGGCCCTCTTGGGGCGCTTCGGGGCCGTCTTGGAGGCCATCTTGGGCGTCTTGGAGGCCTCTTGGCCCGTCTTGGGGCCGTCTTGGGGCCGTCTTGGGGGCCTCTTGGGCCGTTCTGGGGCCATCTTGGAGGCCTCTTGGGTGCTCTGGGGGCGATCTTGGGGGCCTCTTGGGCCGTCTTGGACAGCGGGAAGGCCGAAAAGCATCATATGTTAATATCATTTAATAATCAATAGACAATCAATGATTTTGGCCTCTTCGGGCTCTCCTTGGGGACCTCTTGGCACCCTCTTGCGCCATCTTGAGGCCATCTTGGAGCCATCTTGGCCCGTCATGAGGCTTCTTCGACGATTCAGAAGGCATCTTGGACCCTCTTGGGCCGTTTTGGAGGCCATCTTGGACCATCTTGGGCGAACTTGGAGGCCATCCTGGGCCGCCATCTTGGCCGTCTTGGAGGCCATCTTGGGCCAACTTGGGGCAACAAAGGCATCGACAGATGCGTTTTGAGATCCTTCCCGGGACCCCGGCGGGACGGGCCGAAGCCCCAGGGGGAGTTCTCTTGGAAAAGAACCAAAACCAACACCGAATTCGTCTATCATGCCAGGCCCCCTCTTGCAACAGGGGGCGGCGGATCGAAGACGCCTACGGCGAATCACCGCCGCCCCCTGCCTTTTTGGAAGCGCCTATGTGGCCGAACATTGAGGCCAGGCCTGCCAAGCTATCGGACCATGTGTTCCCCGAGTCGGTTTGGAAAGCCTTCGGGGAACACGTGGACATCTTGAAGGTCATCTTGGCCGCCTGGAGGCCATTTTGACCCTTTCGGACCTTCTTGGAGGACGTCTTGGAGCGCTCTTGGGCCGCCTTGGAGGCCATCTTGAGCGTCTTGGAGGCCTCTTGGGCCGTCTAGGGGGCCTCTTGGGGCCGTCTTGAGCCTCTTGTGCCATCTTTGGGGGCACTTGGGCCGTCTCGGGCCGTCGGGAGGCCGAAAAGAAGCAAATGCCACAATCCTTCCAAAAGTCATGGGAAATCAACGATCTTGGCCTTTTCGGGCCTTCCTGGAAGCCCTCTAGGAGGCCTCTTGGGCCGTCTTGGGCCATCTTAGTGCCATCTTCGGCCATCTTGGTGGATTCCTGGCCCGTCTGACACCGTCGGAAGCTGTTTGGGGGGCCTCTCTGAGCCGACTTGGGGCCCTCTTGGAATGCTCCAGGGCCGTCTTGGAGGCCATCTTGGGCGTCTTAAAAGCTTCCAGGGCCGTCTTGGGGGCCTCTTGGGGCCGTCTTGGGGGCATCTTGGGTCGTTCTGGGGCCATCTTGTAGGCCTCTTGGGCGATCTTTGGGGCTCTTGGGCCGTCTCGGGCCGTCAGAAGGCCGAAACGAAGCAAATGTCAAAATCCTTCAAAAACCTTTGTACAACCATTGTTTTTACCTTTTCTGGCCTTCCCGGGGGCCTTCTTGGAGGCCTCTTGGGCCGTCTTGGGCCAGCTTCGAGCCAACTTCGGCTATCTTGGTGGGCTCCTGGCCCGTCTGACGCCGTCGGAAGCCGTTTGGGGGGCGTTTCTGGGCCGACTTGGTGCCCTCTTGGAGTGCTCCAGGGCCGTCTTAGAGGCCATCTTGGGCGTATTGGAGGCCTCTTGGCCCGTCTTGGGGGCCTCTTGGGGCCGTCTTGGGGGCCTCTTGGGCAGTCCTGAGGCAATCTTGCAGGCCTCTTGGGCGCTGTGGGGGCGATCTTGGGGGCCTCTTGGGCCGTCTTGGGTCGTCGGAAAGCCGAGAAGAAGCGAATGCCAAAATCCTGCAAAAACCGACGGAACATCAATGATTTTGGCCTCTTCGGACCCTCCTGGAGGACCTCTTGGAGGCCTTTGGGGCCGTCTTGGAGGCCTCTGGGGGGCCTCTTGGGCCGTCTTGTGCCGTCTTGGACTCTCTTGGGCCGTCCTGGAGGCCGTCTTGGACCATCTTTGGCGAACTTGGAGGCCATCTTGGGCGAACTCGGCCATCTTGGAGGCCATCTTGAGCCGTCTTGGAGAATTTATTCCGGACGTTGAGGTCGTTTGCGGTCCTGGAAGAGCCTCCCGGGACCCCAGCGGGACGGGCCGAAGCCCCAGGGGGAGTTCTTTTGAACAAAAGCCAGAACCCAAACCGAAATAATCTAGCATTCCGCGCACCCTTGTGGCAAGCCAACAGGGGGTGGCGGATCCCCTGGCCTTCGGCCCATGGCACCACCGTGCCTGGCTTGTGGATCAGAGTTCTCAGGGATGGTTCCTCGCGTCTCTTCTGGGCGCTCTCGGGGACTTGTTGGGAGCAATTTGTGGGCGTCTTGGGAGCCTCTTGGGAGCCTCTTGGGCTGCTCTCGGGTGCCCCTCGGGTGCCTCTCGGGTGCCTCTCGGGTGCCTCTTGGGGCCTCTTGGGGTCCCCTCGGGGCCGAGAGCTCTAAATGTCCGTGCGGGTTCCCCATCTGGACCCCTGTTTGGACTGTTTTTTTGGGCCCTTTGGCCGTCTTGAGCGTCTCTGGGGCCGTCTTGGGGCCCTCTTGGGCCGTCTTGGGGCCCTCTTGGGGGCCTCTGGGGCCGTCCGGGGGCGATCTTTGGGGCCTCGTGGGTCGTCTTGGAGCGTCGGGAAATCGAAGGGCGCGAACGCTGAAATCCTTCAGAAACCGCAGGACAATCAATGATTTTTGCCTGTTGGGGCTCTCGTGGGGGTGCTGTTGGAGGCCTCTCGGGAGCGGAAAAGAGGGGGGTGATGACTAGGGGGAGGTGGATATCATGGCGGGGGCCATGATATTTCAATAGATTTCATGGCGCCTCTTCTTATTTCATTACGTCCCTGGCCCCCCCGCTGGGCCGCGCACATGCCGCCGGTCATGATTTGCACCCCCCCCTCTCGGACACCCCCCTCTTGGCCGCTCCCGAGCCTTTGGGGCCGTCTTGGAAGTGTCTGGGGCCGTCTCGTGGCTATTAACAACGTATTTGAGCTATGTTTCGGCAAGTCGGGGCTTTCTTGGACCCTTGTGGGCGGGCACAGCGTCTAGAGGACTTGCAGAAGCACCCTAGAACTCGCGGGAGGCAGCCCGGGAAACTCTGGACGGCCTGGGAAACAAATTGGTGCGTGTCCTGACAGACTGACGGTTCTGGCTGCAGCAGCAGCACAGCCTCTACTTCTCAGTGTTGCATGAGCCTTGGAGCACTTTACTTTGCGCCAGAGGCACGGCGGTGGATCTAACTCTGGGAGTACAGCCGAGGCGCTGAAGAAGGAGCCCTTTTCGTTGGGGAGGGGCTCGGTGTTCCTTGATCGTTTTACAGTTTGCCTCAGGTTTTCCTGAGGTTGTCCATGGTACATCGAAGTTTAATTTATTGGAAAAAAGGGGCCTCGTTCCTGATTCAGGGTTCCTTAGGTCAACGCCCCGACGGTATTGGAGCTCAGCATCTCCTTGGCCTGCGGCCCGTCGTGCAGGGCGTGTCGCGCGCTTTCTGTCCTCTGGCGCTCCGCCTCTGGAGGTCGAGCAGCCCCTGGGCCACGTCAGCTGACGTTGATGGGCTTGACTTCCACCACCACCACCACCACAAGTCGGAAGGGGGAAGGAGGTGGAGGATGAGGAGGAGCAGGAGGAAGGATGAGGAGGAAGAGGAGGAGGAAGAGCAGGAGCAGGAGGAGGAGCAGGAGGAGGAGCAGGAGGAGGAGGAGGAGGAGGAAGAGGAGGAGCAGGAGGAGGAGCAGGAGGAGGAGCAGGAGGTGAAGGGGGAAGGAGGAGCAGGAGGAAGAGGAGGAGGAGAGGGACCCCCTCCCCCTCCTACTTGTGTTGGCGGCGGTGGAAAACAAGCCCACCAGACGTGTGCTGTCAGTGCACCCCACTCTGGTCTCCCCTTTCGTCCCTGCTTCTCCTCCCCCCCTCGATGGCTCGGGCTGGGGCCCGCCCGCTCGGAGCTTCGAGCCTCCCTCGCATGCTGTTGTTAACGGGTGCAGGTCGCTTCCCTGCCCGAGGTTTCTCTGGGCCTCGCAGTCTGTCCCCTGTCTCCCACAGAGGTTCCTGGTGCTCCTGGCAGTCTGCGTGCTCTGCTGCCTGCACTTCGGGGTTTCTTGCCACCAGGCTTTCTGTCCGTGGTGCGGCCTCCTCGTTTCGGCCGGCCTTTCCTCGGCTGGGGGTGGCTGGTGACGGAAGTGGTGCTCGTGCGACCCAGCCCGCCCCTCAGCGTGCGAGAACAGCGAGTCGCTTTATCCGACGTGCGACGACGACGACCTCCTCCTCCTCCTCCTCCGCCTCCTCTTCCTCCTCCTCCTCCTCCTCCTCCTCCTCGTTTTCCTCCTCCTCCTCCTTTTCGTTCTCCTCCTCCTGCTCCTCCTCCTCCTCCTCCTCCTCCTCTCCCTTTTCCTCCTCCTCCTCCTCCTCCTCCGTCCTCCTCCTCCTCCTCCTCCTCCTCCTCCCCCTCCTCCTCCTCCCTGTCTCTCCGACAGGTACGGGCACCGGTGTTGCGCCCTTCCTCGCGTTCGCCAAGGAGCGCGACTGGTACATCAAGAACCATGGCCCGGAGCGCGCCGGGGAGATGTGGCTGTTCTTCGGCTGCCGCAACAGGAAGAAGGACTACATCTTGGGCGACGAGCTGGAGGAGCTCTCGGAGAAGGGGGTGCTCACCCACCTGCGCCCAGCCTTCTCGCGCGACGGCCCCAACAAGGTCTACATCCAGGACTTCTTCTTCTTCTCCTCCTCCTCCTCCTCCTCCTCCTTCTCCTCCACTTCGAGGGTCGAATATCGAGGCTTTCGGGCGTTTTGTTTCCTTTTTGGGGTCTCCAGGGGTCTCCAGAGACCGGAGGCCTTCCGAACCCATCAGAGAGCCCTGAAGGCTTCCCCCCCGTCTTACAGCTTCCTCCTCCTTCCTCCCTCCGTCCGCCTGCCCTCCCTCCTCCCTCATCCCTCCCCCCTCCGTAGCCCCCTGGCTCAAGCCACATTTTGGCTCCAGCGCCAGCTGGCACGAGCACCGCTCCCCGTCAGCCAGCGCCACTGGCGCACCCGGCGCGCCGCCGCCCCGCTCCTCCGAGACTCCCCCCTTCGGCGGCGCGATGGAGGCGTCTCCCGCCGCTGCGGGGCGCCGTCGCCGCCCGCCGCGGCCGGCTGCTGCGCGCCGCGTGCAGTGTGCGAAGGCCGACGCCCGCGCGGCCGAGCACCCCGCTGCGCGTCTTCGCGGCCCTCGCGCGTCGTCGCGGCCGACGACCAGCTCAGCTGGCCCAGGCCCTGGCCAGGGCGTCGGCGAGGCGCCGGCTCCCTCCCTGCTGGGGCGGTCGCGCCGGCCGCCCCCACTCCGGTGGCTGCTGTTCGCTCAACTTTGGAGCCCATGGGGCCCTCCTGGACCTCGTGGGGGGTGCTCTGGAGGCCGTCGGGGCCTCCCTGGAAATCCTGGGGGCACCTTGTCAGAGGCCAGCAACATATGTACACGTACGCGGTTCGCTTCCCCTGGAGTGCGTGTCAACGAGGACGTTCGTGCAGGCAAGACCGCGGAGGGCGTACATGTACATATGTCGTTGCTCGCCCACCTTGGGCCAGGGACGCTTCTCGCGACACCCGACTGGGGGCGGCGCGGCGGCTGTCGTGTCCTCGGCATCTTCGACAGCTGCCACGCCAGCGGCTCACGCCCCGCCACCCTGGGGCCCACCTGTTCCGGCGCGCCTCGTGGGCGCAGCTGGAGCTGCATCGTCCCCGCCCTCATGGTCGCCTGCTTTGCCGCCCTCGTGATCGTACGCGATTCTGCAGGCTCCTTCGGCGTCCTCCTCCCTCCCCCTCGCCCCCCCGCCTTCCCCTCCCCCTCCTCCTCCTCCTC